ATATTATGTGAGATCCTTAAAAATAAATCCCATTCCAATTTTTCATGTTTTTAATTTTTATCCATTATCTATTTGTATTTTCAACTCGTATTTCTTTTCCTGATATATGGCCGATATATATAATGATATATATTAAACATTCACACATAATATGGGATACGAATAATTTCAACTTGTGTTGCACTTTTCTTGCGAAGATATATGTTTATGACATATATTTTTATAATAAAAATGTATAAATTAAATGCTGCATATTTAACTACACACTATCTAAAAAAAAATGTTTTGAGCGTTTTACAAAAATGTTTGTTTGATGTAATTTATAACAGCAACTATACATTCCATTTACATAAAAAAAATTTGTTGTTTTTGCAAAATTATTTCTGTGTTTTGTAAATAATAAAAATATCAGGATAAACTAAATTCAACTAAATACTTGGTTAACATAAAATTACAGATTTATTCGATACATATTATTAAAGCTATTCGCTATATTTCAACCGAATTTTCGTTATTAACTTTTTATAAAACAAAACATTTTTTTTGTTGCAGTGTGTACACTATCATACGACCATGACTAATTTTTATTTATGATAATTTATGATGTTTATGATAATTGTTATCTAAAAATGTTTTTAATATTTTCAAGTGCAATAAAATATATTATGCAGCATATAACAATAAATGGTACACTTTAAATTCAGAAACTGTAGACGATTTGTTGCTCATAATGACAAGAGGTTCTAAACCAGTTTATCTCACCGCTGGAAAAGTGTCTCCTGTTACAATGACTACATTTTGCAGTGTAAGTATAATGTTTTTGTTTAACTTGAATATTAAAATATTGATATCATTGAAATTTTATTAAAAAATTATTATAGTTGCTGTACTACATTTAAATATGTAAAATTTGGTTTTTTTATTTTATTCTATTTTTGCACAATCATAATGGTACGATTATATGTAATTACTTATTACGAATAACATGTAAAAGTTAAACTCATAATGTTAATTTCATAATCATTAAGAAATATTTGTCAATCCGAATGAGACGATGCCACAGCCGTCTAAGTTGGATAACGGATGCTTCTAATTGTGAGTGAATTTATATACTATGTATGTAATTTCATTTGCACGCTAAAATTTTTTTTTTGACGAATTACATACGTAGTATATAAATTGACACACATTATTTAGAAGCACCCATGATCCAGTTTAGACTGCTGTGGCATTGTCTCATTCGGTTTGAAATTTAGCGTTAAATAATAAGTATTAATATTTTATATATTTTTTTCAGTTTGTAAAAACATCAGTTGGTTATATATCCGTCTTGCATACAATAAAAAGTTAATGGAAAGATAAGAAGAATGTAAAAGTTTCTTAGTGTACAATTTTTTATAGAATACATAAGTTAACTGATAAAAATTGTATCAGTATTATTAATATGTTATTTACAAATAAAGAAATGTTGCTTTATTTGGATGAGAAATTACATATATTATATTGAACAATAATTGAAAAATAAAGAATTTAATTTAATTTTTTTTTAAAACATTGTCACTTAGATATTTAAACTTTCATGAATTTTAGGTCAGAACATTGAGTTAAAGCATTAATTCTATTTTAGTCGTCATTTTATGCCATATTATATAATATAATCAGTTATAATATTAATCAGTTTTAAATTATTTATTCTAGGTATGTATACAATCCTATTTTAATCAAACTTTATAATTATATTAAAAAATTGTTAATCATGCATGTTACCATTAAAAATTTATATCTTAAATAGTTTGTAAAAACAATTGCTGGGTACATATCCGTTTTGAACACAACAAGATAATAAAAAAAAGGATTCATATTATCTCATAGGACCGTACATGTGAGAAACCCAAGCATTGAGAAAAAAGCCTTTAACCATCTAACTAGATTTTAGATATGTGTATAATTCCGTATGAATTTTACATATGTATACTATGTAAGTAGTCTTTTAAACCACGGAATGTTCAATTTTTCGGTTTTGAAAAGCACACTCTACTTAAACTAGCGGAGTAATATCACGAGTTAAATTAACTAGCAGTTTAATAATCTTTTCATGCTCATAAATCATCTTAAATCAAACTGAATAATGTTGAACATATAGATCGATTTTTAATATATTTTACTTTTTAAATTTAGTCATTTATTTTATATAACATATTATACCAAAATGAAAAGTTCAAGTCATGTTCAAAAAAGGATGTTTGAAAATTTAATAAACTATTTTATTTAATAATAATATATTACCATGAAAAGTAACTGATATATTATTTATTATAAGTGCCAGAAAGTGAACATACATAAAGTGTAAGTAACTTTCGGCCGATTTTCGTATCACCTCCGCCTTCCGCTGAGCCCCTCACCACATCACGCGCGATCCAAATGCTACACGACACTCGCGCGCCATTTGATCTAAGCGTGGGGTGGTGCTGTGATGGGGACAGAGGAAGGAGAAAATGATTCGAAAATAATAATAACTTATTGTGTCGACTCACACATTAGGTTTATTTTTTTTTATTTCTTTGATTTATTCGATGGAGCTTCAGGAAAAATTGTATTATAAAATAAACTTCTAGTTAATACGATTATTGTCTTATTATTCAAAAATAACAACAAATTTTCAAGACAAACAATCTTTATGATAAAAATTTTTCTTTTATAAATAGTACCAATAATCATACGAATTATGTATATTAAAGTTAACTAATTTATTCGAGCATCATACATTTTTACGCTTTGCATTTATTTTGAAATACTCAATACACCAAAAAAATAAAAATATTTTAGGAAACTTATTTCAAAAATTAGAAACTATAAAACTGATGCACGATAAGTACTATAAGTACGACAAGTACTATAATACATATAAGGTCAGTTCTCTGTGACTGAACACTTTATAACTTAAAGTGTACACTTTAGAACTTAAAGTGAAATAGATTTATGTTTTATATTTGTCGAAAGAGAGAAAAAAAGTTCTACATCAGTCTAGCGCAAAAACAGAAAACAGACCAATAAAGTATTACTAAAAGCTAGAGTCATAGATAACAAAGAATATTATATAAAAGAACGAAAATAAAATCGATACATATACTCATGCACGTTTTCTTTCATCACCATCTCATATTCTGCAATTTTTACTGCTATTTTCCGCGATAATCGGTTACAACTGGGAACTTGATGGCAATTTGAAACGACAGAAGTAGAATAATTAAAATACTTTATAACAAGTTGCCCGTTCGATACTTTCAAAAAGCAGAACTGTAGGCATGCGCAAAAAACGCTTTTTTCTACACAGGAGGTAACGTCGATTCATGAGAAAGGAACAGACGACAGTCTTTAGATAACACTAGACATGGAAAGTTCAAAGTATAATGGATACCAAGGTGCTTATTATATGTATATAAATTTCAATCATTCTGATTGTATATCATAAAAATATGTACAAACAGCAATATCATTTACTTACAAACTACGTTTTGTCTCCTTTGCAAAAAAAGTCTCCATTGTCATTGAATTTGTGTTTTCTGTAAACGTATTGAACATCAAACTTTTGTTGAAACAATGTTAGTTACATCCTATAAGTACACAACATTCCTGTAATGTCATATAAATATTATTGGTTTTCTAATATTTATATATATATATATATATATATATATATAACATTACAAAGTTATTATGTCTTATAGGGATAGACGTAGTAGATATAGATTGCAGTCACTTTCGATCTGTCTTATGTGACTGGCGTAATGAAAAATACTTGGTCAATTATATTTATCTCATATCTGTTTTTGATCAAGAAGTTCAATATCTTTTTTATGCACTTGGCGTATGTTTTTTTCTTTTTTTAAAAAAATACTGTAACTGATTTTAGCATCTGTGCTACGTTAATAACAGAACGCCATATTATACGTAACGGTATCTTTTCTAATTCATCGCTTTTAATGGGAGAGAAGATGACAGGAAAGACGAATCCAATGTCTTCACTGTAGCTTTACTAACATCTTAAAGAGAAAACGAGAGAAAAATAAAAAAAACGTACGCACTAAGCTTTCTCTCTTTCGAAACTGACAGTGACAAATAATTGTGAAATACGCAATCTATACTTATTAAGTCTTTAGTTAGTTATAATTAACTGCAACAAATAAAATCAATTATTTTTGTTATTATCAATTATTTTTTACTTTGTAAATAATTTTTACACTTGCTTGATTAATATGAAGAAATATCTTATTTTATATTTCATACAATACGTTTGGTTCAATTGTGGATATATTATGTTTATTTAGAATTGTACACTATACAAATCCTATTATTATGAGCATTATACTTATCAAGGATTCTGCAGGTAGATTTCGAGTGGGCGGTGAAACTAAATCGTTTAACTTTAAATTTTGTTGGACTTTGGCCTAGGACTGCACAAAATCCTTGGCAAAAGTTAATTTGCAATTTTCGAGTACTGGTAGTATTTCTGGGAATAACTATTTGCCTTCTTATTCCTTCTATACATTCCCTAATAAAAATTTTCGGAAACAGTTTACTAATGTTAGATAATTTACAACTTACCTTACCGACCATAAGCTGCTTGATTAGAATCATCATTTTTTGGTGGAAAAAAGAAGGTAGTCATCATTTTGATAGTATTCTAAATGCATGATATTGTCTTTAAATATTTACTTTTTATAACACACTCGTATGATATCTATGCACAACAAGATTAATACATTACACATATACACAAAATTAACATTTTTACTAATTTGAAAGATTATAATACTTATTATTAATGATTTAAAAAACTATAATATTACATTTCTTAGAGAAATACGAAAATGGTGGTGCTACAGTTCCATGTTTTCTTTTTAAATCTTTTACAATTTAAGTATAATATATTTAATCTAAAAATATGCTGTAAAATTATTATACATAAAAATATTCACTTTTAAGCCAATATACCAATTATGGATATGATCGTGAAAGATTGGATAAAGTTAAAAAGTGATAAGGAGAGAAACTTGATGATCCAAAGAGCGCAGAATGCACGTGTAATTACCATCTTCTCCTACAGTCTAATGGCATTAGGATGCTGCTCCGTCACAGTATTACCGATTTTTGGAATGTCAACAAGAATGTATTCTAATATTACCGATCCAGGAAAACCATTGCCTTTACAAACTCATTATATTTATGATATAACGAAAAGACCGCATTACGAACTGACATTTTTTAGTCAAGTCGTATATACAGCAGTTGCCATGACAGCCTATGCTGGAATAGACAATTTTCTTAGTCTCGTAATTTTTCATATATGCGGCCAATTCGACATTCTCAAAAATCGTTTAACACGTTTGGATAAATACATAAACTATCGCAAAATGCTGAAATGCTGCATAGCAAATCATATCCGTTTGCTTAGGTATGTTACATTTGTAAGAAAATATATATATATATATTTATATTTATATAAAAGCAGAATTCTAATATAAAACATAACATAAAATATATTAATATATTAAATTATTTTAATAGAGTTATTGATATTCTTGAAGATACATATAATGTAATACTTCTCTCATTATTTATATATCATGCAATTCTCTTCGCATTCTTCGGATTTCGGATAATTAGTGTAAGTATTTAAATGTCTGAATAAGAACTTATTTGAAGAAGCTTGACTGAATTAATAAATAATATTTTATATTAAATTTATTTGTTTTAAATTAACAGATATTTAATTTTAATAAAAAGTTTCTATACTTATGTAATGTTCTCTTAAAATTTTAAATAAATGTTATTAAGAAAATTAAATCTTTCATTTATTTTATAAATTAATTAGCTGTTTGATAAAGGAAATGATATGTCTATCACTCATTTGACATATTTCGTCTGCATCGTTTCAAATTTATTTGTACATACGTGCCTGTATTGCGCTCTTGGTGAGGTTTTGATAGCTGAGGTATATATATATACATTTATATATGATATATGTATATAACATTTCCACAAGAAAAATGGCATAAGTAAAAAAAATAATTGTAAGATACAGAAAGATGTGTATGCGAGTGCCAGAAGGATAGTTTGGAGAACAGCTTTATTCTTACGTTAAGATACAATTAATGTTAAAAATGCACCTTTTTCTCTTCAAATCTGTCTCTCGTCAAACACCATTGTTTTTTTTTCTATTTTTCTTGCGGTCACACTCACACAGGATTTTATACTTAATCATTACACTATCATACCATGACTAATTTTTATTCAAATGTTTATCTTAATTATTATTTAAAAGTGCTTTTAATATTTCAAGTGCAATAAATTATATTATGCAGCATATAACAATAAATGGTACACTTTAAATTCAGAAACTGTAGAAGATTTGTTGCTTATAATGACAAGAGGTTCTAAACCAGTTTATCTCACCGCTGGAAAAGTGTCCCCTGTTACAATGACTACATTTTGCAGTGTAAGTTTAACGTTTTAGTTTAACTTGAATACTAAATATTTATATCAATGAAATTTTATTAAAAATTATTATAGAACCTGTACTACATTTGAATATGTAAAATTTGATTTTTTTATTTTATTCTATTTATGCTCAATCATAATGGTACGATTAAATGTAATTACTTATTACGCATAACTTGTAAAAGTTAAACTCATAATGATAATTTTATTAATTATTAAGAACAATTTTTCAAACCGAATGAGACGATGCCACAGTGATTTAAGTTGGATCACGGATGCTTCTAAATAATTGTGTGTGAATTTATATACTATATATGTAATTTCATTTACGCGCTGAAATTTTTTTCTGACTTTTGGAACTCAACGCTTATGAACTACCGCAGTAATATCACGAGTTAAATTGATTAACAATTCAACGATTATTGATGCTGTTTATGCATTTTATATCAATCTTAATAATGTTGAATAACCTATTAAAAACTATAAATAATTAATTTTTATTGCGAAAAAAATTATCTCAGTTGAAAGTCGAACCCGAATCTCTGGCATTCCGAGCGAGCGTACTAAGCCTTTAGACCATCGACGCACGCATTTCTCGCAATAAAAAATTATTTACAGTTTTAATAGGTTATTTAACATTATTAAGAACAATATCAGATGCATAAACAACATCAATAATCGTTAAATTGTTAGTCAATTTAACTCGTGCTATTACTGCGGTAGTTTGTTACTGTTGCATTTCAAGTCTGAAAAAATTACAGCGCGCAATTGCAGAATTACATACGTAGTATATAAATTGACACACATTATTTAGAAGCACCCATAATTCAGTTTAGACTGCTGTGGCATTGTCTCATTCGGTTTGAAATTTAACAGTAAGTAATATAAGTATTAATATTTTATATATTTTTCAGTTTGTAAAAACATCAGTTGGTTATATATCCGTCTTGCATACAATAAAAAGTTAATAGAAATATAAGAAGAATGTAAAAGTTTCTTAGTGTACAATTTTTTATAGAATATATAAGTTAACTGTAAAAATTGTACCAGTATTATTAATATGTGTTGTACAAATAAAGAAATGTTGCTTTATTTGGATGAAAAATAACATATATTATATTGAACAGTAAATGAAAAATAAAAAATTTTATTTTATGTTAAGAACTTTTGTCACTTAGATATCTAAATTTTCATGAATTTTAGGTTAGAACATTCAGTTAAAACATTAATTTTCTTTTAGTCGTCATTTTATGGAATATTATATAATATAGATTAATCAGTTCTAAATTATTTATTCTAGGTATGTATACATTCCTATTTTAATCAAACTTTATAATTATTTAACTATTAAATTTAAATTGTTAATCATGTTACTAATAAAAATTTGTATTTTAGTCAGTAAAAACAACAGCTGGGTATATATCCGTTTTGCATACAGCAAGATAATAAAAAAATGAAGGCATATAATCTCATAGGACCTTACATGTGAGAAACCCAACCACTGAGAAATAAGCCTTTAACCTTCTAGTTGGATCTTAGATATGTGCATACTTCCATGTGAATTTTCACTTACCAAGGCGTATAAACAGAAAACTGTCCAACGAAGTATTATTAAAAGCTAGAGTCATAGACAACAGAAAATGTTATAGAAGCATGAAAATAAAATCGATACATATACTCATGCACGTTTTCTTTCATCACTATATCACCATCTCATATTCTTCAATTTTTTACTACTATTAGTTTCCGCGATAATCGGCTACAACTGGGAACTTGATGGAAATTTTAAATAACAGAAAAAGTAGAATATTTAAAATACTTTATTGCAAGTTGACCGTTCGATACTTTCGAGAAGCAGTACTGTAGGCATGCGCAAAAAGCGCTTTTTTTTGCACAGGAGGTAACGTCGATTCACGAGGAAGGAACAGACGATAGTCTTTAGATAATTCTAGACATGGAAAGTTCAAAATATAATGGATACCAAGGTGCTTATTATACATAAATTTCAGTTATTCTGATTGTATATCATAAAAATATGTACAAACAACGATATCATTTATTTAAAATCAGTGTTTTGTTTTCATCGTAAAAAAAAAGTCTCCATTGTCAATGAATTTGTGTTTTCTATAAATGTGTTAAACATTAAACTTTTGTTGTAACAATGTTAGTTACATCCTATAAGTACACAACATGTCTATGATGTCATATAAATATTATTTGATTTTAAATATTTATATGTATAACATTACAAAGTTATTATGTCTTATAGGGATAGACGTAGTAGATATAGATTGCAGTTTCATACTGTAACTGATTTTAGCATCTGTGCTACCTTAATCTTAATAACAGAACGCCATATTATACGTAACAGTATCTTTTTAATTCACCCCTTTTAATGGGAACAGGTGATAGAAAAAGACGAATACTATGTCCCCACTGTAACCTTAATTACCATCTCATAGAAAAAACGAGAGAGATATAAAAATACATACGCACTAAGCTTTCTCTCTTTCTAAACTGATAGTGACAACTTATTGTGAAATACGCAATCTATACTTATTAAGTCTTTAGTTACTTATAATTAACTGCAACAAATAAAATCAATTATTTTTTACTTTATGAATAAACTTTAGATTTGTATGGTTAGTATGAAGAAATGTCTTACTTTATATTTCGAGCAATGCGTTTGGTTCAATTGTGGATATATGGTATTGTGTTTAATTGGGAGAGTTGTATACTGTACAAATCCTATTATTATAAGCATTGTACTTATTAAGGATTCTGCAGGTAGATTTCGAGTGGGCGGTGAAACTAAATCGTTTCACTTTAAATTTTGTTGGACTTTGGCCGAGGACTGCACAAAATCCTTGGCAGAAATTAATATGCAATTTTCGAGTACTGGTAGTATTTCTGGGAATAACTATTTGCATTCTTATTCCTTCTATACATTCTCTAATAAAAATTTACGGAAACAGTTTACTACTGTTAGATAATTTACAACTTACCTTACCAATTATAAGTTGTTTGATTAGAATCATCATTTTTTGGTGGAAAAAAGAAGGTAGTCATCATTTTGATAGTATTCTAAATGCATGATATTGTCTTTAAATATTTACTTTTTATAACACAACTCGTATGATATCTATGCACAACAAGATTAGTACATTACACATACACACAAAATTCACATTTTTACTAATTTAAAAGGTTATAATACTTATTATTTTTCTTGAAGAGGAATACGAAAATTTAGTAGTGTTGTTTCAGTTCACACACACAAGTTTTCTTTTTTATGTCTTTCATTATTTAAAGTTTAATATATTTTAAATCAGTAATTTTGTAAAATTATTGTACATAAAAATGTTTACTTTTAAGCGAATATACCAATTATGGATATGATCGTGAAAGATTGGATAAAGTTAAAAAGTGATAAGGAGAGAAACTTGATGATCCAAAGAGCGCAGATTGCACGTGTAATTACCATTTTCTCCTACTGTGTAATGGCATTAGCGTGCTGCTGTATCACAGTATTACCGATTTTTGGAATGTCAACAAGAATGTCTTCTAATATTACCGATCCAGGAAAACCATTGCCCATACAATCTCGTTATATTTATGATATAACGAAAAGACCGCATTACGAACTGACATTTTTTAGTCAAATCATATACGCAGCAGTTGCCATGACAGCCTATGCTGGAATAGACAATTTTCTTAGTCTCGTAATTTTTCATATATGCGGCCAATTCGACATTCTCAAAAATCGTTTAACTCATCTGGATAAATACATAAACTATCGCAAAATGCTAAAATGCTGCATAGCAAATCATATCCGTTTGCTTAGGTATGTTATATTTGTAAGAAAATATATATAATAAACAGAATTCTAATATAAAATATATAATAAAATATATTAATATATTAAATACTTTTAATAGAATTATTGATGTTCTTGAAGATACATATAATGTAATACTTTTCTCATTATTTATATATCATGCAATTCTCTTCGCATTCTTCGGATTTCGGATAATTAGTGTAAGTGTTTAAATGTTTGAATAAGAACTTAAATGAAGAAGCTTGCTTGAATTAATAAATAATATTTTATATATTAAATTTATTAGTTTTAAATTAACAGATATTTAATTTTAATAAAAAGTTTCTATACTTATGTAATGTTCTCTTAAAATTTTAAATAAATGTTATTAAGAAAATTAAATCTTTCATTTATTTTATAAATTAATTAGCTGTTTGATAAAGGAAATGATATGTCTATCAGTCATTTAACATATTTTGCCTGCGTCGTTTTAAATTTATTTGTACATACGTGCCTGTATTGCGCTCTTGGTGAGGTTCTGATATCTGAGGTTAGTTATATGTATATATATATATATATATGTATATTGCATTTCCGCAAGAAAAGTGACAAAATAATTGTAAGACGCAGGAAGACGTGTACGCGAGTGCTAGAAGAATAGTTTGGAGAACAACTTTATTCTTACATTAAAGATACAGTTGATGTTAAAGATACACCTTTACCTCTTCAAGTCTGTCTCTCGTCAAGCACCATTGTTTGTTCCCTTATTTTTCTTGCGGACACACTCGCACAAGATTACATTATACTTCATCATTAAACTCTTGACGCTACATGAAGTCTGTTTTTTATTTCTGCACCATGTGCATTAGATCAGACAGTACAGAAATAAAGAACAAATGATATTGTTAATAATTAGAGAAAAAACTGTGCTTTTTCAAATTTTTTTTGATTTATTATTTCGGTTTAACTTTAATTATTTCGGTAATATTAAACAGAATAATAATAATAATAATAATCGCTTATTACACATTTCATGTTTAAAAATAACCTAAATAATTTTTATCCATTATCTATTTGTATTTTCAATTCGTATTGCTTTTCTTGTTAGATGGCTGATGTATATTTAACAATTCACACATAATATGGGATACGAATATTTCAACTTGTGTTTCACTTTTCTTGCGAAGATATATGTTTATTACATATATTTTTATTATAATATTGTATAAATTAAATGTTGCATATTTAACTCTACACTCTCTAGGAAAAAAATGTTTTGATCTTTTAATAAAACTGTTTATTTGATTCAATTTATTACAGCAACTATATATTTCATTTATATACAAAAAAATTCGTTGTTTTTGCAAAATTATTTCTCTCTTTGTTTTATAAATAATAAAAATATTAATTATACTAGAAGGTTTGCTGGTTATCGCCGTGTCTTCCTTCATTATTAATACCAACGTATCGTGAATCATACCGTTTACTTCATCAGGGCGAGGGTTGAGCTGATACTCACCCTTCGCCCTGATAAAGTAAACGGTATGATTCACGATACGTTGGCATTAATAATGAAGGAAGACACGGCGATAACCCGCAAAACTTCTGGTATAATTGAAGAAAATATCCGTGAAAGTCTTAAAAGCGTGAATAAAAATATTAGTTTATATCAGCTAAATAATTTGATTTACATAAAGTTACAGATTTATTCGATACATATTAATAAAGTTTCTCATTCGCTATATTTCAACCAAATTT